TATACTTTTTTTTTTTTTTTTTACTGGGAATTGAACTCAGGTCCTTGCACTTGCAAGGTAGGCCACTGAACTGCTAAGGAAAATCCCCGGCCCAAGGATACCTCTTAACAGTGATTCTAAAGTCATGATATTAGGATATTAGGACATATTTTCTACCTTCTATACAGGAGTACATCAGAGAAAAAGAGGAATGATTCATATATTTTATTTCTGGAAGGCTATTCAGTGTTTTATTCATAACAAGTAATTGTTAACTTTCTTTTCAAAGTTTCTTGGAAAAAAATCTAAATAAAACTGAATAATTACAAAATTAAAGGCCAATACAGCTGGTGAATTCATACTCACTAGGTGGAATTTAGGTTATTCTAACTCTTGTGTCATCTGATTTAATATTTTGTGTGAATGTGTAGCAGTTTTGGGTGAGATCAGGCACGTTCAGGGTGGTAAGGCTGTAGACAATACAGAAGTTTTGGTTTTCTTAATTTCATGATATTGAGGGTCACATATTTTTTATTTGTATGAACTTACAGAAGGATTCAGAAATCTCTAAATTCTGCTGTACAAGAAAGGGAATCTAGTAATCTGGATAATTCCTACCATCTGTATGTATATGCACATGCTTATGCATGTGTGTGTAAAATAAAAGATATTCCTCTGAGATTTGGGAACATGTAAGGTACAGTGGATTTTAGCAGAAAACTTTTAATTTATAATATTTTTTTCATTATTATAAATGACTCAAATTACCTTTGTTCCATGTTCTGATGCTGGGTAAAATTTCGTAAGATGAGCCCTAAGTAATACTTGTAGAGTCTTCCTCACCCACATACTACTCAAGAGAAAATAAATCTAATTGCTCTGTTATTACTCCTGGCACATCTATAAACATTGGCAGAGTTCAAGCCATAATCTTTACACTTGATTTTAATGTACTGATTTTTCTTCTGTTCATTATTTTCCCATTTATGAATCTATTATATGCCATTTTATAATTGAATAAAATGGATTAACTGATTCCTTGCTGCTTTTATTCATTTAAAAGGCTTTTATTCAAACAACAAATAGCCTATTTTATACTGCCAATGTAAAGATGAATAAAACTCACCTACTTTTTCTTTTTCTTTTTGGTACTGGGGATTGAACTCAGGGCCTTGCGTTTGGGAGGCAGGTGATGACACCACTGAGCTAAAACCTGGCCTGTCATTGTATTTTTTCACAGCAAAAAAAATAAAAATCACCAAACTATTTCATACTCTAATTACTAAAGGCATTCATTTTCCACAAGTATTTCAAAATTAAAATATATTTCCTAAATGTATTTAATAGACATACTAAAACTCTATAACTATAAAATACATGCTCTCATTAAACCTCATTTTTATTAATTTACAATCTTAGTGCTATTTCCAATACTACATTCTGTTTTTCTGTTTTTATTCACATTCTGGACTTCAAATGGCTTATGAAGTTCAAATACTTACTGTCACTAGTTCCTAATGTTCCTTTCTCTCAAAATATTTTAAGTTATCAATTTTCTTTAGCACTTCTTAGCTCAGAAAACTCAAAATTATGCCATAAGTGATAGTTATGATCCTATAGCTATCACCATTAGAGTAAAAATTGTGAAAAAGTCTTGGAAGCATGGAGCAAAACTATTTATTAAATTATACAGAGTTATACTGACACTACATTGCTAAGCAGATGTAAAATACTGTGTACTTGAAATAAACTTTTGTGTTTCTTAAGACACTCTATTAGATTAATATGCTTATCATTAAGCTCCAGATATATGATTTAATCTTATTCTCTTATTGTTGGAGATGTTAATTTTCATGGAGTGCCCATAGAAACAACTAAATTGGTTTTTATTACTGTAGTTATAATCTAATAAATTCTGTCTTCTGAGCATAGGATAATGTGCTTATGGTTTCCAATCTTCAGGAAGTTATACACTATCTCTGTTAGTACACTGGTACTTTGCTTTTGCCAGTGAAATTCAAATGAAACGCTTTTGATTCATTATTTAATAGAAAACAGCAGTAATAAATAAAATATAGTGACTCCATTAATATTGTTCTCAGAATATAAAATATATACTTTTTTTGTAGAGCAAAACTGAAAACATTGGCTAACAGAAGAAATCTAGTGAAAAAATTAGGGTTTGAGGTTTACTTATTTACCATATTTTTATCACGTTTTTCATAGAGATTACCTGTTTAAAAATGCATTGTATATTTCAAAGTGATTTTTCAAATTATTTAGTTGCACTTTGCTCCAACGTAGAATTTATAAACTTTGAAAAGGAATAGAAATGATTTGAAATCATACATACAGTAACAATGATGGATAACAGTGCTAAAAAGGTTACCACTTCACTGCAAATGTAGAGTAACATGGAAAATGTCTCTAAAATTTCTTAGTGACAAATGCTCTTGAAAAAGCATGTTGTTAAATGAGGAGAAATAAAATATGTGTGAAATTATTTCTTCCCAGTATATTTTTGTCGACATGAAGGTAACTGTATTTAATCATGATACCTCCGATTGCCCCTTTAGAAGATGATACTGACAATGTGAAATAGAGGAAGGAAGAGAGGCAAAAAATAGGAATGAAGGAAAACACCATTGAAGGAGAAGGCAGACTCTTTTATGACGGGTAATGAGAAAGATTGTCAGGATGGCTGCAACTGGAAGCACAGCACTGGATCATTAGGAAATCTGGGACTGTGACTCAGACATTCATACAGTGTAACTTGCACAGGTAAATTTGTATTGGTTTACAACTGCTGCAAACTATGTTTCAATTATACAGTCTTTTATTATCTGTTTTGTCTCACCACAAAGTCACCTAACTTTGCTGCTTTAGTTTGCTCTTCAAACACATGAGACAATGTAAGACTACATTTTATTAAATATAAAAGTTCTCTTAACAGCAAGTAATTTCTTGCAATGCAAAAAGGATAAAACTTTTTTTCTCTCTTTCTTTTTTTCAAATGTCCTCATACTCTGAATGTGGATGGAAAGCCACCTTCTTAGGAAGCAAGATAATCTGTATTAGGATAAAAGCCAATGTGCTAATAATAAAAGAATATAAAGAAAAATAATTTTGATTCCTGATTTCATTTCTGGGATTTGACCCTAAATATGAAATATTTTATAAATAAACTTATTTAGTTAAAAAAAAACTTCTTTTAGTAGAATTTGACCATGTTTTCTGGAACCCAAATGTATATTTTAATAAATAAACAGCCTCTATAAACTCTAAGATCAAAATCTATGGAAAAATTTCAGACCACTTTCCAGAAATAAGTATTTTGAGTAAATACATAATTCTAACTTGTAATAAATAGTTTGAAAAAGATGCATGCTCTGTGCAGCGGTGTTCAAAGTTTCTCAACGTCACTTGTGTAAAACTGGAAAAAGAAACAGAGGTAAAAGAAATCACAGCATTCCTAAATTATTTACAATTTGTTAATAAATGCTATGAATAAAAGAGATGAAAACTCACATAAAATAATAAATGCTTTATCATCAGTGTAATATATATTTGGATGCACAGAGTGTAGCATTTTTTATTCTAGTATCAACTCATTAATGAAAATCAAATATATCTTTAATTTTAAGCAAAAAATAATACCTAAAGTATATGAGACATAGTATCACAAGGAGCCATGGGAATTTACTGAAAACTCTTAATACACATCAATATATTTTACTACTAATTCTAGGTAGATGGGAAGGCAGGTCACAATTTAAGTGGATGGGCCTGTTATCCTGGTCTAATTTATGACTTCACATTGCACTTGTGTTCTTTACACAGTCTCTCTACCTTTTTTAGAGTTTTCAGAGGAGCAAATGAGAATGGCTTTGAAACCTGGCCAAAGTGGAATGACACTCTCAGCCCCATTGAGAGACCAGAGAGCCTTGGTGTAGGAGCATAAAGCCTGTGTAGCAGGTTGCAGAAAAGATACGGAGCTGCTCATCACAGACAGCACAAAAACCTGGATGAAGAGTTGTCTTTGAAAAGAATATTAACATTAAATTGAAGACAGTAAAGTGGCATCTAAAATTAATTATCGAAGCATGCCAATCAAAATCAAATTTCCTTTTTATTACTCCTCTAAACGTACATGCTTGAGTTATAAGTAGTAATATTGTATTTTAGCAAATTGTGGGCACTATGAAAATATTGAAAATTTATCCATATATGGCAAAGGAGCACACTTTTCAATATATTCTATACTATATGCAATTAGTCAATGTTCCTTAAGGAAACATTTTGAGGAGAAATCATTTTCAGTGACCTTGGGCATTTTTTAGCTAAAGGCAAAGAGAGAAAATCCATGGCAAACTTCTTCATCACCTCACAGAGTTGTCATCTTTCCTTCCCAAACTCTTAATACCCATGCAGCTCTTAACTGCCTAAATAGGGAGTGATAATTAAATTTGAAAAAAAAAAAGAACTTCCTAAAGTTCATTATGGGCATGCTTTGTTAAATATTAAGGATCAAACAATCTTAGAATTTTATTACAATAACTTATTCTGAAGTGTGATTTGCTAATAATTCCACCCCAAAAGGTACAATGGGCAAGAGGGCTTATCCTGAAATTATGAAAATTAAGCAGAATTGAAAGTTATAAGATGTTACAAAACTTGTACGAAAAACGGGAGATCTATGTCTTTTCTGAAATGTTGATCAATTGTATTTCTCACCTAGAAATCACAAGATGAAAGCTATGAAATTATTTTGATGCTGTATGCTGAGATTTTGACAAAAGAAGAAAGTTGCAATTTAAAATGATGAATTTCAGAATAGAAAATTAGCTCTTGTGATTGCTGTCACTGAATATACATTCATTCCTGATCTCTGTATGAACTCAGTGCAATTTGAAAAACCTGGTAAAAAATCAAAATGAATGAAGTACTTACACTTCTGTACTTCACGATGTATTCCAAAATGGGAGCTCCTCCATCATCCTGTTTGGTGATGCTGAGTTTAAAACTCTTTCCACTGCTTGGCTGCCCATGTATGGATGGAGGACTTGGTTCACCTAGATATGTAATACAACATTTCTTCATTTCCCCACATTTCATATATATAGAGAAACTGTATTTTAATAAAAAGAACACTGTCATATAATTAAAATATGTGATGTTATCCTAGATTTACTGCTTGATATTTGGTCTTTGTTGTGAAATTACATCTAATCCTCACTGACTCCTCCAAAAACTAGCAACATTCACAAATCCAAACTATTATGCCCAAATTGTACAATATCAAGATGAAATATACTATTTCTACTTGTGCAAATTCTGTGACAACAGTGCTGCATCAATCAAGTATAAGCTTTATTTCTTTTAGTATCATTAGTGTGAATTCCTATTTACTTTATTAATGTAAATTCTTTTCAGAATATTTATGGATTTTATTCTCATAAATACTGCATATTAACACATCAAAATGTTTTATTATATACCTATGAAGATAAATGATGGCTTGCCATGAGTTATCTACTATAACAAGTATTTTCTTCCTAGATTCATAATAGTATAAAAATTGAAGATGACATTTATAGTCTTGTACTCTAGCCTTTTGTCTCAATATTTTATTTTCTTGTAGGTGTTTGAATATATTTGCCATTAATTCTATTCTTCCAGTATTTATATGTTATGTTACAGATGCTGACAATATTTACAAAAGAACAGGTGTGCACTCATGTTTAAGGCTTTTCCACATGAAGAATACCAGCACTGTTTGGTAACTGAGAATGGCATCTCCTGGCTTTGTGCGAGTGTTCTGAGGTGCTTGAGTGCACCTCATTATCTCCCTGTCTGTTTCTTCCCAGACTCTGAGGATAAGGAAATGGAAATGTATATGATCTCTGGTATACATGGGTAAAACTAGGGATCACAAACACAAACTTTAGTTTGCAGTGATTCAGAATACTTGTAACATCCAATCTCTTTAAAAAATGTCAAGACGAACTGAACACAATAAAGCAAAGACGTTGGGTATCTCCAATTTGGAGAAACTTGAGATTTCATTCTCCTCATCAGTTTGACATTTATAATATGGTGTTTATAATCAAAAGCATTTAAGTAGTTTTATTTTGCCAAAATGCAGGTCATTAAAGCAATATGATTATAGGATTTGTTAAATTGTAAGCAAATAACAAAATAGCCTTATATGTTAGAGCTATATAGAAATAGTGAAAAGAAAATTTATAGTGTAATTGGCCATAAAGTTAATAAAATTAACATATAGATATTATGAAGAATACAATTATATATTAAAATTATTTAATGAGATTATGGGAAATCTACATTTTATAATGTGGATTTTATATAATTCTCATTTAATAACAATTATATTATTTTCATAATAGCATTTTGAATGAGTTAAGAACCAGAAATTATAGCTTAAGTAGCAACAGTTGTACATATAAAATGAAAAAATCTATGCATATATTTAAAAATAAGCATAGACTGAATTTGTAATTCCATTACAAGTTATACTTCCTTTGAAAAAAATAAAATCCAGAACAAATATAATGAGGATTCTATTGGAGACAAACAGATAAAACTTATGGTTTCTATTCATGATTACAATAAAATGTTTATGCAAAATCAATAATATCAATAATAATAGAAATTTAAGGTATATAAGTTATATAGCTATATATAACTTATAAAATCCCAAGAAGTTAAAAATATCGTATGAAGCAACTTTAT